TCTGTCTGTCTGTCTGTCTGTCTGTCTGTCTGGTCTGGTCTGTCTCTCTGGTCTGTCTGGTCTGTCTCTCTGGTCTGGTCTGTCTGTCTGGTCTGTCTGTCTGTCTCTCTCTCTGGTCTCTGTCTGGTCTGTCTCTCTGGTCTGGTCTGGTCTGTCTCTCTGGTCTGTCTGTCTGTCTGTCTGTCTGTCTGTCTGTCTGTCTGTCTGTCTGTCTGTCTGTCTGTCTGTCTGTCTGTCTGTCTGTCTGTCTGTCTGTCTGTCTGTCTGTCTGTCTGTCTGTCTGTCTCTCTGTCTGTCTGTCTGTCTGTCTGTCTGTCTCTCTGTCTGTCTGTCTCTCTGTCTGTCTGTCTCTCTGTCTGTCTGTCTCTCTGTATGTTTGTCTCTCTCTGTCTGTCTGTCTGTCTGTCTGTCTGTCTGTCTGTCTCTCTGTCTGTCTCTCTCTCTCTGTCTGTCTGTCTCTCTGTCTGTCTGTCTCTCTGTCTGTCTGTCTCTCTGTCTGTCTGTATTTCTGTCTGACTGTCTGTCTGTCTGTCTCTCTGTCTGTCTGTCTCTTTGTCTGTCTCTCTCTGTCTGTCTCTCTCTCTGTCTCTCTCTCTCTGTCTGTCTCTCTCTGTCTTTCTCTCGCTCTCTGTCTGTCTGTCTCGCTGTCTGTCTGTCTGTTTCAGGATGGGTTACCCTGCTGTCAGCGTCATCCGTCAGTCGCCCGGGGGTGAGAGGTGATCCCTTGTTCGTCTTAGTCTGCCGTTCTTCTTGTTTTTATCGTCTGGAGTCTTCTGTTTCCTTGGGAGGTTACGAGGCAGATGACGTGCTCTCCTTCTCCTCCCTTGTGACTCCGACATCCCTACTCAGTGGGGGGAAGTCTTCTTCTCTCAGGAGGGGTGTTGGTGGTGCTTCTCTCAGGAGAGATGTTGGTGGTGATCTGGGTGGTGGTGGTGGCGGTGGTGGTCCTGGCCGTCGTCTTCTCTTGTCACACTGGTTCGGCCAGTGTTCTGTAGAGCTGCAAATGGTGCAGGGGGTCTTACGACCCGCCATGGCCACTAGGATGGTGTATCCCCCGTTGGGGATTCCTGGGCAAGTAATGTTCACGTAATGGGGGATCGGTCTGGTTTCCGCCACCATGGCGGCCTGTCTTTCTGTCTGCGTCTGTTCAGCTTGCTGACCGACGGATTCTTATCGCCGCTTGTGGTGGTCACAATCCGTCTGCCAACCGCCTCTGAGGTGACTGCCGGCACCCAGTTTAAGAAAAATCTCGTTCTTTGCTTGTCGTAATGCTCCAGGTTCACCTCCACTCCGTCAACTGTAAAGGTTTTCCCATGTAGGCCCTGGTAGCACTTACTCTCTGCCGGCATTTCCAGGGTGAAGTACCACCATTAGGCGGCTGCAGGCGATACAATTCCGCAATGCCACCAGTCGGCACACCCCTCGGCCCATTCAGCATCGACGTCAGCCACACTACTGTGGCCCGCTTGGCTGCCCCTGGCCCCGACAAAGAAATCATTACCGTATTGGCAGTATGGATTCTGCCACCCGGATAGCTATCCGCTGGCAGGCCCACATCATAGGTGAGTGTTGATGATGACATTCTCCTCAAATCAGAAAAACAGTCTGGAAATACAATTTGCAGAAAAGCTCTCTCCAACTTGCCTCCGCATATGCCTCGGCTGGTCTGCCTCTGTCTGTCTGTCTGTCTGTCTGTATGTTTGTCTGTATCTCTGTTTCTTTCTTTCTGCTTCTTTCTTTCTTTTCTTACCTTTTTTCTTTAATTATTTTCCCTCTTTCTATATTTCTTTATTTCTTTTAAAATTTTCTTTCTTTCTTTCTTCCTTTCTTTCTTTCTTTCTTTCTTTCTTTCTTTCTTTCTTTCTTTCTTTCTTTCTTTCTTTCTTTCTTTCTTTCTTTCTTTCTTTCTTTCTTTCTTTCTTTCTTTCTTTCTTTCTTTCTTTCTTCCTTTCTTTCTTTCTTTCTTTTCTTTCTTTCTTGTCTCGTAATTTGAATTTGTATAAAACCAAAAAGGTTAAAAGATTTAACTGTCTGTCCCTGAAAAGGACCGTCTGTCCAACCTTGCAACCAACCCTCCTGCTGCTGCTGCTTGTATCCTGTAGACCTCAGATGACGTCGGAAGAACGCTCTGGTGTTCGTCCACATCCGGACTTTAGTCTTGTTCCAGAGCCGGAAAGTGGCGTTTACAGTCAATCAGTAATATCCCCAACTCCCGGATGTCTGAGAAGGCTTTAGTTAGTTAGTTAGTTGGGTTATCCCCATTGCACTCCGGACATGTCCATAGGTGCTCAGATCCTCCCCTCAGTATGAACCCCAACGTCCGATGGCTAATAGTACCAGTTCTTTGTTGATTAACAAGTCTTCTGACGTGTCCGGTGTGCGTCTCGTTTTTTGCTGTGCCGATCTTAATTCCCAAGTCTGCCATTCTGGCGAGTGATGTGGATTCACTGCCACCAAAAGTCCTCTATCCTTCCCATTTCTCTGAGGGCATTGATAATATCAGCATGATCCATAGGCTGACCGTCGGTAGTGATAGCGGATCCAGCCAACTTGTCAGCTCTTTCATTTCCATCGACGCCTGCGTATCCCGGAACAAAAAGAAAGGTGACTTCTGTAATGATTCAAGCCATTGTCTTCGCACTGAACCTGCCTGAACTTTCCGGATCATACTCATTGAATCACTGAGTATACATACACGGGTGTATTTTTGTGTTTCAAGCCAGGCAAACGCTTGCGTCACTGCCATCACCTCCATCGTCATGCTGCTGGTTGTCATGGAGAAGGCGCCGTTGGCTTCTTTGACTGTTCTGCCCGCTGAGCGTGCTGTAAATGCCCATGCGCTTCTTCTTTGGCGTATAACGGATCCGTCTGTATAGATTATTGCATCTGATTCATCTGAATTTTCACCGATGAGAGCGTTGACCTCTGCATTAACGGCAACAGGATTCTCTTCTCTACATCGCCTGTTGAGTGTGACAATCAAGGAAAATGTACAAATAAACGCCTGAGGCACAGGTATCCATTCTGCACCAGGTATGATGTCGGTTAGGCTGCATATTTGCCTAATAACATCTTCTGCCCGACCTAGCCACGATTTTCCCCTCTTCAGTCTGTCGCCCTTTTCACTAAAAAGCGCTTGATGCAGTGGGTGTTTCTTATCAGCACATATTTTGAGATATGCCCGAGCCCTCCACATCCTGATCCTTTGGTTCATTGTTAGAAAGTCAAGTAGATACCTCATTGCTCCACAGGATGTGTCTCTTGTACATCCCAAAATAATGCGCATGGCTTCATTTTGCACCTTTTCGAGTCGTTCAATCTGGGTAGCACTGACAGTGAGGATGGACAAAGCGTATTCAATGGGGGAAAGGACCAGACCGTAGAATAGAAGTTTTAGTAGTCTTTGCTCAATATTGGAAGCAGCCATAATCCTCATTGCAGATAGACCTTTGCGTGCTTTTGTTATCACATGGTCAACGTGTTCCCTGAATGACAAGCTGCGAAAGAACCTCACCCCGAGAAACGTCATAACGTTGGTTCTGATCAATACATTATCACGCATTTTCACTTCTGGTAAGTAAGGCTTTAGTGTTTCTGATGTATGTCGTATCTATCTGTTTGTGCACCCGCCTAAACGTCCGTCCACCTATTGATCTGCAAGCATGTTTTTTATCTACCTACCTACCTACCTACCTACCTATCTATCTATCTATCTATCTATCTATCTATCTATCTATCTATCTATCTATCTATCTATCTATCTATCTATCTATCTATCTATCTATCTATCTATCTATCTATCTATCTATCTATCTATCTATCTATCTATCTATCTATCTATCTATCTATCTATCTATCTATCTATCTATCTATCTATCTATCTATCTATCTATCTATCTATCTATCTATCTATCTATCTATCTATCTATCTATCTGTCTGTCTGTCTGCCTGCCTGCCTGCCTGCCTGCCTGCCTGCCTGCCTGCCTGCCTGCCTGCCTGCCTGTCTGTCTGTCTGTCTGTCTGTCTGTCTGTCTGTCTGTCTGTCTGTCTGTCTGTCTGTCTGTCTGTCTGTCTATCTATCTGTCTACCTGTCTGTCTACCTGTCTGTCTACCTGTCTGTCTGTCTACCTGTCTGTCTGTCTACCTGTCTGTCTGTCTACCTGTCTGTCTGTCTGTCTACCTGTCTAATCTGTCTGTCTGTCTGTCTGAATTCTGTATTTCTAGATATGTTTTTATCCTAGCCAATTCATGGTCTGCTGAAAATATCGTTCGTTGCTTCGTTCTCCATATCTACTGCCTTGCTTACGTAGCTATCTTCTCTGTGTATATTTGCCTGCCTGTCCGTCTGTTTGTCCTGAATGACAGCATCTCGTAAGTGAATTAGAAAAAAAAATCAAACAAAAGAGAAGGGGGAAAAACCCCGCAAAATTGAGCATTTAAAGTAAATTTGCACACATGCATAATACAAATGATTTAACATAGAATATGAAACTGGAAATGAAAGAATCGCAGAAATCTAAAACATGTCGGTAATGCAAGAAGGACAAAGACCTTATCAGAAAGGACAGTGTGATAGAGTGGTAAGGGAGGCGGATATTTGCTGCTTGACATGCAATGAGCAGACGGATTTCTCTAATTATTTCACGAAATAACAGAATGATTGATTTGAGTCTAATTAGAGTAGCGGTTCTTGACCTGCATTGATCTTCGATTGTTAGATCTCGCGCGTTTCCCCGTCTTTCACTTGTAATCTCAGTTTCTGGCCTTACCAACGGGCACGCGGGACTGGTTTACTACCTTACTGCGTAGACTACTTCTTCGCGTGAACCGGCTGTCATCTCAGGCGAAAGTTCTGGTTGTCCATCCACTACACAATTTTGGTCTCGTTCCAGGACTGTTGCGTGTACATCCGTTTTACAGTTCTGGCTTATTAGTGTGCTTACCTCCTTGCTTCTCAAGCAGATACAGCCAGACTTCGGAGGAAACTGGTATAGACGATATGGGGAAGGTTGACGTGTTTCTACTGTTTTTGTTTGCGTTGTTTAGAGGCAGTCGTGGTGCCTACACTACACTAAAGGACGTTCAGAATGTGTTCAGCAACATCGTGCAGGCCAAAGACCACAGACATAGGCCAGTGCTGAACCAGAGCAAGCCCTTGATTGTCCGAATTAATCTGGAGCTCGTCTCTTTAGTGGACGTAGACGAAGTTCACCAGACGATGTCCACCAACGTCCTTCTGACCTTGACCTGGCAGGATGAGTTTCGAACCTGGAAACCCGTTGACTACGGGGGGCTAACAAGTGTTAGCCCAGACCCCTTGGATGTGTGGAGGCCAAGGCTGTTCGTCTCCAACACGATTGCTGAAAGGGATATGTTCAAAGACGATTACGCCCCCTTGACAGTGTTCTTCAATGGAACTACAGTGTGGCAACCAGGCGGGATATTGCACACTTCGTGTCCAATGAGACTGGCCCGGTACCCGTTTGATAAACATAGTTGTAGGTTTGCTTTCACAACAGGGGAAAGCCAGGAAGAAATACAGTTTAAGACAGATCATCAAAATATTTCTTTGGATTTCTATGAACCAAACGGAGAATGGGACTTGTCACCTGCAAGCATTGATTTGAGTGTAGAGAAGCGGGGCCGGGAAGGTCTACCGAGTTTATCGTTTAACTTCCAGCTTCAGAGAAAGGTCTCGTATGCTATACTCTGTATTCTAATGCCAGTGATTGTGATCTCATCCTTACCGGCGTTGGTTTTCGTCACGCCTGTAGAAAGTGGAGAGCGAGTCACCTTCTCAATCACCGTGTTTTTATCCCTGACATTTTCTACGGAGCAGATGTCTGGGAATTTCCCCAAGAACTCAGAAAGCCTGCCTTTGCTGGTCATCTATCTAGCGTGTCTACTGATGTACTCCAGCCTCGCCGTCTGCGTCAATCTCATCGTCCTGCTCAAACAAAATAAAATAGAAGGCGATGATAAACCTTCTGTAGACTGCGCTGAGGGAAATGATTCATCTGAGGATTTCGATCGCACAAGAACCTTTGTGTCCATCAGTGATAAATATGATTTATTGTTTTCTTCTGCTCAAGAACGGGAGGAAAGACACTGTGATGCTAGGCCAAAGATAGGACAAGGGCACCACCCAAAATTTCGCCCAGCACAAAAAACATGTAGTAGATTTGGAACTGCGTTAAAAAATCAGACAGAGAGAGCTGGATGCGATGGTGGCCTTCCGAGCAGCAGTGACTCAAAGCGACCGTCATACTTCCGCATGGCTTCAGTCCTCAAGCACATGAACCAGAAGGATCTGATCCTCTTTGTTTTGTTCGCAGGCATATGGCTGGTTCTTGCCGTGGTCTTCCTCATTCTTCAAATCGGCGATTATGCAAAGTAAAAACATTGGTTATTCTTAAAACTATAACTAAAGATTACACGTTTTGCGAAAGCTTATCGCGCTATCAATTGCAATTCATCATTCATATTTCGTGTTAAGATTTATTAGTCAACGGTACATCCCTGTGGAAAGTCATTTGCGTTATCCTCTAAAGGTGGTGGATTCATTTTCCGACGATGTCGTTCGGTTATCTAGACCATACGCGAGCAGGCTACCCGTGCAGAAGCACAAATAGATCATCACGGTCTGATGAGAGTGATGCAGATGGGAGTGACCAGGGGACCTGGCCGCCGCTCAAGACTCAGAGGAAAAGCAAGGACATATACTCAGATTGTTACTGGCTCCATCAGAAGTGGAACTCTGCGCTTGCTGCTGATCATGGGGAGTGAGCACTTATGGGAATATCTCGAATGCTATGGTGTTTTTTTTTAAAACTTAACCCAACGCCAAGTCCCTAGGGATCACTGGTAGAACTAGGTGAGACCGCGCCATATGGGAAAGAAAAACTTGCAACTTGTGAATGGAGACTCCAGTGAACTGACCTAGAGAACATCGATCAGATGTGACCAACAAACAAATATTCATAAAAGGTCTGGGAAGATTTGTCACAAAATACGTACTGAAACGGGAAACAAATGGACTGGGGAAATGAGAATAACTGAGAGAAATTCTGCTGCGAAGGTTGATACCAGAGACCAGAAATATTGAACGTGACTAACGTTTCAATGTAAAAGGAAAAAAAAATAAGACTAAGGAATCAAGATACCTCTTTGACAAATCGAGATAAGAAGGTAGTGAGCTATGAGCAGCTATGAATGTGTCCGGTATACAGTGGTAAAAGTAAGCTTTAGTGTGGAACTTTAAATGATTTTTTTTTCATTGTTTACTAATTGTCCATGATTCATAATCGTATGTTGGAAGTAATTTTATGTAACATATTCAGGGTTATGTTAAAAAAAAAAAAAAAAGAAGAACTTTTAACAACATGGAAATAACTTAATTTACTGACGTCTGGCCAACCAACGGTAACAATAGTTCTAGGACAAAGAAAATGGCGTTATACTAGTCATGGCTGGAGGGAACACAGAATCACCAAAAAGTTCGTTTCGCATCCTTTACAGGGCGTTGCAGAATCAACCCCAGCATTGTTTGGCTGTTGTATTTTTTCTAGGTAAATTAACCTCCAGTAGTTTGCCATTGCTTTTTGGATAGTCGGCTTCTCGAAACCAATGTCGAAATCAACGCAAGGCGCAAGGGCCCGTAGCTAGGATTGAACCCGGCACCCTGGCATTACGAAGCGCGACCGCAACGCCTAAGATACAGACGCCGATAGAATCACCAAGCAGACACGTAAATTGTAAACCAAGGGACAGCGATTTCTCTTCGTTTTCTACGATCAATAAGTAAGCCACTATCGGTTTGCTGCATCAGTCACAGTGTTTATGAATACACACGAAGAATATGCTTTAAAAAAAAAAACCTAGCTGGATTCATTAGGCAAGAATGAATTGCAACACTAAGCACTTCACGAATAGCTGCCTTAACCTTCATCTTTGTGCCAGGTTATGCGGGTATTCGAGGGAACGAGCGTGCAGACTATCTTGTTGACACTGCGGTTGCTATGGCTGGTCTAGCATTGGAAAGAAGTGACGTTATCAATGCCATACGCTGCGTTTACCGTACTGTGGAGCACGCCAAGGACATGATTTCGTATCCCTGTCTAGACTGATGGACATGGGGGGCGGGGGGGGGGGGCGGTCTGAAGCTGCAAGAAATGAACATTTCACTAAGGGGACAAGACGTTTCGTTAACCAACACAGAATAGGCGTCATCAGTCGCTTTACACTCACTAATTACTTTCAAACTTCCTAGCGTAAACCACTGTCAGACACATTGTTTTCAAACATCCCAAGAACTTTGTTTTCAAACATCCCAGGAACATTGTTTTCAAACATCCCAGAAACATTGTTTTCAAACATCCCTGAAACATTGTTTTCAAACATCCCAGAAACATTGTTTTCAAACATCCCAGAAACAGTAATTTCAAACTTCCTAGAAGGTCACACTTAAACTAGGCTATCACATTCAGACTAGTCGAACACTTACCCTGGTCATATGCTGGCCATAAAATTAAACATCCCCTTTCGAAGCCATCTTGACCGGAAGCGAAAAGAATGGCTAAAGATCTCTCCAGCCCTGACGCCGCGAGACACTCCAGTAGTCAGGGGGGGGGGGGGGGGGAGAGGCAGAGTGATTTCCAGGCATGGCGTCCGGCTCGAGTGCTGGAGGTCCCGGTGAAGTCTGGAATGTTTTTCACATGGATCTAGTTAATTTCCTTTGGTCTCTGGGTAGTAAGACCGGACACGTGTTGTTGCACACGTCAAAAAACCCTTAGCTGCTGCAAGTCTAAAAGAGTAGCCTAAGGGCGCTGCCCGGGTCTTCTTCTTCTTCTTCGATCCTTCTGTCAGAAAACTTATATCAGGAGGCCGGTAGCCTTTATGAAAGCTATCGTGCAATCCATATCCTCTTGTGTACCATACAGTTTTGTCTTCAATGTGGTTGGAACAGGCCAGATTGCGTCTCTGTTGTCAGCATACAGTTGACAGTGTTGCACATGCTCAGCATTTTCGGGTGCCACGCTGCAGGGACACGTCTCCGTATTTCCTACACCGAAAAATTTGAACATATGTTGACGAAATCTGTTGTGCCCTGTCCTTAGTCTGAATATAATAGTCTGTCCCTTTCTAGAGAGGCGATGAAGTGAGTCTTGGGGAGAAAATCTGGTGTGGGTATCCAGCCACCTTTCTTGGATACTAGATTGTATTAGTGTTTTCATCTCTTGGTGGGTTAAGTCGCTATTTGGTTGTACCATGTCACTGCCGCTTCTGGCCAATCTGTCTGCTATTTCATTGCCTTCCAAGCCACAGTGACCTGGAATCCACTGCAGTACAGATTGTTCTACTGAAGAGCCTAAGTAAATCAGCTGTTGCGTCAAGTCTACAAACTGAGTGTCTTTTGGGTTAACAATTGCTTGTAGAACTGACATAGCATCAGTCAGAAAGACCACTTTGCTATATTTGCTGTGCTGTTGTCCATTCAGGAAAGAACATGCCGCTAGAAGTGCTTCTGCCTCTGCTCTGTAATTGGAGGAATATGAACCTGTTGGTACAGCCTGGTTGATTTTAAAACCATTTGGGCATTCTATGTATATTCCTCCTCCTCCGTCTCTTACTGCTCTCTTGGCTGAACCATCTGTATACACTCGAATCCAACTCTGGTGTGGATAAAGTCTATTGATCTCTCCTTCTGTAGTTGATTTCATATCAGTGCTGCTCATTGATGATTTGGAGGAGACCCCGGTTACAGTGGTTCTGACTGTTGGTAGGCTATCCCTAAGCCAAGCGGGGCAGTCGTTGTAAGGTTTAAGTGGAACATTTGGTATTGTTGGAGGGAGTTTAAGGACAGCGAGCTTGGCATTTGCGTTCTTAATAAAGCAAGTTCTCTTTAGTCTAGCCTTCTGGGGTTTCTGCAGTCGGCTGTACATGGGTTGTTCTTGAAAGTGGTGGTATTTGGAGAGCTGGGTGAGGATCTTTGTGTTTCTCCTATCTTCCAGATTATGGAGACCAGTAATTGTTTCCATATCTGATATGGGCGTGGAGCGCATCGCCCCTGTCATGTAAAAACTGAGTTTAAACAAAAACCTACCCAAAGTAGTTCGGGATCCTCGCCGGCGCAACGGAGTTCGCGCACTACGCTGAAATTCTTCGGACTCGGGCTTGAGTTAGAAGTAGAACAAAGCACTTATGGGTTACTAATCATGTGCCATGATGTTGGTCTGTTGTTTAAACCACCCCAGAAGTAGAGACAAAAAGAAGTACAAAGGACCAGGAAAACAGCCCAACAGAACCTGCCAATGGCTACCTCTACTTACCACTTTTGCAGTGCAGACGTGAGTATTTCAGTCTGAGAATTTCAGGCCATGTGGCTGGCGCTGTCGTCACGGACTGTGCAGGTTAGGATTCTATTTCTTTGGCCCTCCAACAAAAACCAATTCACGACCTTACCGAGGATTCACTGTGGCGTAGCGGCTAGATGCTCGTGTGCGGATCGGAAGGTCGTGGGTTTGCTCCCTGGCGGAGCTGCACTTTTTTCAAATATGACTGTGACTCCTAGGTCGACCCAGCTTTGAGTGGGTACCAGGTGCGGTCCCGGGAAGTAAAGGCGGCTGACGTCATGCTGACCACATCGCTCGTCTTGTGCCGATAAGTCTATGAAAATATAGGTCTAGCCCTATATGCCTAAAGGCTCGAAAAGGGACCTATACTTTACTTAGCGAGGATTAAGTCCTGGGTCATATAAGCAACCTGAGTCTCCTGCATGACAGGCCAGCGTCCTTAACCGTTTGACCAGCTGTGCCTCCAAGAGAGATGCTAAGACAAATGTTGTTGAGAGGCCAAATGTGCTGGACTGAGTTCCATCCATGATACCCAATGGATTACAGGTTAGATGGATTACATAGGATAGATGAATTACAAAGTATAGATGGGGATTACATAGGATAGATGGGGATTACACAGGATAGATGGAATAGATAGGATAGATAGAATACACAGGAGAGATGGAATACATAGGACAGATGGAATACATAGGATAGATGGAATACATAGGACAGATGGAATACATAGGACAGATGGAATACATAGGACAGATGGAATACATAGGATAGATGGAATACATAGGGCAGATGGAATACATAGAATAGTATGCAGTAGATGACTAGACTATGAGCCCATTATGATTCAGTTAGATAATCGACAGATTATCCTCACTGCATGTCATACAAGTCCATAAACGCTCGGATCCCATCTTCAGTACATCGCTCAGCGTGCGGAAACTGATAACATCAGTTCTGCGCTGCCTTACTATTCTTCTTTGACTACCTACATAGTGTTCATGTTTGGCGACACCTCTTTTGACCTGAAGCTCTTGAAGTCTTTTGC